TCAGTTTGTTTTTCAGAACTATTGTATCTCATGGTTTGTCTCCCCCTCCGATTTCCCCCCCTTCATTCTTCCCCTCCTTCTATCTTCTTCTTCTTTTTTTTTCTTAACATATATTGCATTATTTGTTTCAGAGGTACAGATCTGTGATTCAATGGTCTTGCACAATTCACAGCACTCACCATAGCACATACCCTCCCCAGTGTCTTTCACTCAGCCACACAATCCCTCCCACCCCACCCCCCACTCCAGCAACCCTCAGTTGATTTCCTGAGATTAAAAATTCCTCATATCAGTGAGATCATATGATACAAGTCTTTCTCTGATTATCAATCCCTTTTTAAAAAAATCTTTTTTATTTTTCATTTTTAAAGTCATATTCTATCCCTTCATAGTAGTTAACCTTATTTTTGGTATATATATAAGTTGTTCTCTCTTTAAAATTTGGGGATACAGTTTCTTTTAACAGACCAAAATATACCCTAAATCTATACTATATGGCTTTGTTCTAGTTTCCTGCCTGATCACATTCTCTCCCCTTTTTTTTTTTTTTAATTTCTCTTCTTTCTTTTTTCAACCAACTTCTTACCTTATCAATTCCTTTTATAAAAATCTTTTATAATTTTCATCTTTACACTCATATTCCCTTCCTTCATCGTATTTACCCTTATTTTTGTACATATATAAGCTTTTCTTTCTTTAAAATTTTGGGAGGCAGTTTCTTCTAAAATACGCCCCAAATCTAGTGTGTGCCACTGATCTTATTCACCAGCCTAATCATATTTGATCATATTCTCTTTTTTTATCTTTTTATTTTTCTCTTTTTTTTTTTCTTTCCTTCACTTTCTTTTTCCCTGGTTTCAGGTCTCTTCTGATTTGTTTAGTGTATATTTTTCTGGGGTCGTTGTTACCCTGTTAGCATTTTGTTCTCTCATTCATCTATTCTCCTCTGGACATAATGACAAGATGAAAAAAATCACCTCAAAAAAAAGAACAAGAGGCAGTACTGACTGTCAGGGACCTACTCAATACTGACATTAGTAAGATGTTGGAACTAGAGTTCAGAATGACGATTTTAAAGATACTAGCTGGGCTTGAAAAAAGCATGGAAGATATTAGAGAAACAATTTCTGGAGAAATAAAAGAACTAAAATCTAACCAAGTTGAAATCAAAAAGGCTACTAATGAGGTGCAATAAAAAATGGAGACTCTAACTCCTAGGATAAATGAGGCAGAAGAGAGATGTAGTGATATAGAAGACCAAATGATGGAAAATAAAGAAGCTGAGAAAAAGAGAGATAAACAACTACTGGATCATGAGGGCAGAATTCGAGAGATAAGTGATACCATAAGATGAAACAATATTAGAATAATTGGGATCCCAGAAGAAGAAGAAAGAGAGAAGGGGGCAGAAGGTATATTGGAGCAAATTATAGCAGAGAACTTCCCTAATTTGGGGAAGGAAACAGGCATCAAAATCCAGGAGGCAGAGAGAAATCCCCTCAAAATCAATAAAAATAGGTCAACACCCCAACATCTAATAGTAAAACTTATGAGTCTCAGAGACAAAGAGAAAATCCTGAAAGCAGCTCAGGACAAGAGATCTGTAACCTAAAATGGTAGAAACATTAGATTGGCAACAGACCTATCCACAGAGACCTGGCAGGCCAGAAAGGACTCCACCCTGAAACTGCTGGAACTCATACAGGAATTCAGTGAAGTGGCAGGATAGAAAATCAATGCACAGGGGCACCTGGGTGGCTCAGTTGGTTAAGCGACTGCCTTCGGCTCAGGTCATGATCCCGGAGTCCTGGGATTGAGTCCCACATCGGGATCCCGGCTCAGCGGGGAGCTTGCTTCTCCCTCTGACCCTATCCCCTCTCATGCTGTTTCTCTCTCTCTCTCTCTCAAATAAATAAATTAATTAATTTAAAAAAAAAGAAAATCAATGCACAGAAATCAGTGGCATTCCTATACCAACAACAAGACAGAAGAAAGAGAAATTAAGGAGTCGATCCCATTTACAATTGCACCCAAAACCATAAGATACCTAGGAATAAATCTAACCAAAGAGGCAAAGGATCTGTACTCAGAAAACTATAAAATACTCATGAAAGAAATTGAGGAAAACACAAAGAAATGGAAAAACGTTCCATGCTCATGGATTGGAAGAACAAATATTGTGAAAATGTCTATGTAACCTAGAGCAATCTACACATTCAAGCCAATCCCCATCAAAATACCATCCACTTTTTTCAAAGAAATGGAACAAATAATCCTAAAATTTGTATGGAACCAGAAAAGACCCCGAATAGCCAGAGGAATGTTGAAAAAGCAAAGCAAAGCTGGTGGCATCACAATTCCGGACTTCCAGCTCTATTACAAAGCTGTCATCATCAAGACAGTATGGAACTGGCACAAAAACAGACATGTAGATCAATGGAACAGAATAGAGAGCCCAGAAATGGACCCTCAATTCTATGGTCAACTAATCTTTGACAAAGCAGGAAAGCATGTCCAATGGAAAAAAGACAGTCTCTTCAACAAATGGTGCTGGGAAAATTGGACAGCCACATGCAGAAGAATGAAACTGGACCATTTCCTTACACCACACACAAAAATAGACTCCAAATGGTTGAAAGACCTCAATGTGAGACAGGAGTCCATCAAAACCCTAAAGGAGAACACAGGCAGCAACCTCGTCAACCTCAGCTGCAGCAAGTTCTTCCTAGAAACATCGCCAAAGGCAAGGGAAGCAAGGGCAAAAATGAACTATTGGGACTTCATCAAGATAAAAAGCTTTTGCACAGCAAAAGAAACAGTCAACAAAACCAAAAGACAACCGACAGAATGGGAGAAGATATTTGCAAATGACATATCAGATAAAGGACTAGTATCCAAAATATAAAGAACTTACCAAACTCAACACCCAAAGAACAAAGAATCCAATCAAGAAATGGGCAGAAGACATGAATAGACATTTCTGCAAAGAAGACATCCAAATGGCCAACAGACACATGAAAAAGTGCTCAACATCATTCGGCATCAGGGAAACCCAAATCAAAACCTCAATGAGATACCACCTCACACCAGTCAGAATGGCTAAAATTAACAAGTCAGGAAATGACAGATGTTGGCGGGGATGTGGAGAAAGGGGAACCCTCCTACACTGTTGGTGGGAATGTAAGCTGGTGCAGCCACTCTGGAAAACAGTATGAAGGTTCCTCAAAAAGTTGAAAACAGAGCTACCTTATGACCTAGCAATTGCACTACTGAGTATTTACCCCAAAGATACAAAGGTAGGGATCCAAAGGGGTACATGCACCCTGATGTTTATAGCAGCAATGTCCACAATAGCCAAACTATGGAAAGAGCCAAGATGTCCATCTACAGACTAATGGATAAAGAAGATGTGGTAAATATATATACGATGGAATATTATGCAGCCGTCAAAACGAATGATATCTTGCCATTTGCAATGACGTGGATGGAACTGGAGAGTATTATGCTGGGTGAAATAAGTCAATCAGAGAAAGACATGTATCATATGATCTCATTGATATGAGGAATTCTTAATCTCAGGAAACAAACTGAGGGTTGCTGGAGTGGTGGGGGGTGGGAGAGATGGGGTGGCTAGGTGATAGACCTTGGGGAGGGTATGTGCTATGGTGAGCGCTGTGAATTGTGGAAGAGTGTTGAATCACAGACCTGTACCTCTGAAACAAATAATACATTATATCTTATATCTTTAAAAAAAGAAGATAGTAGGAAGGGAAAAATGAAGGGGGGGAATTGGAGGGGGAGATGAACCATGAGAAACTATGGACTCTGTGAAACAAAGTGAGGGTTCTAGAGGGGAGGGGTGTGGGGGGATGGGTTAGCCTGGTGATGGGTATTAAAGAGGGCACATACTGAATGGAGCACTGGGTGTTACATGCAAACAATGAGTCATGGAACACTACATCAAAAACTAATGAAGTAATGTATGGTGATTAATGTAACATAAAAAAGAAAAAAAGAAAGACATCCCCATCCACCAAAAAGAAATGTAGTAATTTCACTTTGCTTTTCTGTCTACTCCATTCTTGTTCAATTCCAGTTACATCTTGCTTTTGACTCTTGGCTCCATTTACTTTCTGTGGGCCTAAATCTGATCTTTTGTTTGACATTTGAACTTAAGATGTTTTGATATTCTGTGCCCCCTAAAAATGTTGTCCAGCACTTAAACTTTGTCATCTCGGCTCTTTTCCTCATTAGAGATGAGGAAATCCTTTGTAATTTGTGTACTATGTCCTCATGAATATGGTAAGCCAAATCCTTTGGTCTAGCATTGAACTTCTTAGCAAATGCTAAATGTTTATCAGCCTGATTTGTTTTCTTCAGAGATATATCACTATCCTAAATCATTTTGTCCATGTATTCTTTTGCTTCTTTATTGTGTTCCATTACTATCTTTCTACCACCATATAAACATGAGATCAAGGACTTTTCACAACCATATTCTCAATATTTGTGGAATGAATAAATAAATCCAAATGTTCTTTGCAGTACTTCCGAATTTTGGGAAGCTAATTCTAGTACCAGTCTTTCTAAATAAAGCTCTATATCATCCTTACACCATAATATATAGCTAGGCAATGTCAGTTAATCATTTTTGTTATTATTTTATGCTCACTACACCTTTAATAAGTGTAGCAGTTTTAAACACATGGATGTAAAGTCTATGTCTCCTCCCCTTGATTTGGGTGAACTGGTGATTCACATGACTTCTCAGGCTATGTGATAAAAGAGCATGAAATTCCCACCTTGCTTGCTGGAACACTTGCTCATGGAATCCTGAATCATCAAGAAGAAGTCTTCTGCCACCCATGCTGTGAGGAAACCCAGGCCTACAGGCCATATGGTCACATGGAGGAGTTTCAGTTTTTAGCCCCAACTGAGTCCAGCCTTTGAATTATCCCAGATGAGTTGCCAGACATGTCAGAAACCTCTCCATGATTCTGTCCCCTGCCATTTAAGTCATTCCCAGTTATTTTGAGTGTCTTCAGCTGAAGCCACATATACCATGGAGCAGAGACAAGCCATATCCACTGTGCTCTGCCTCAGTGTCAAAAGATACCTGGATAAGAGGAGTGCCAAATTAATTCTTGAAGTCAATGTTCTGGTATTTAAAGTGGATAGACCAGATAAACAGCATCTTAAATTAAGATTTCTAACCAAGTTGATGATCATATGGATTTACCAGAAATAAAAACTCCACCACAATAGATCAACAATCCAAAGAAGAAATATTTCTTTTAATACTTTTTTGTCTATTATCCTACTGCAGGAAGTATAAAAGAAAAATTAAAAAACAGAAGACTCCAGAAGAGCTAGGTCTGCTTCTAAGATTTCTGATTTAAACAAATCATCCTGGAAAAACACCTCATCAAGTTGGCCAATGTGACTATGCTCTCCAGGCCAAAAGCACACTAAAGCTTGCATAATTTAGGCATAAGACCTCATTATAATGATAGAAACTCACTGTTTATTGACACCAAAAATTCCCAGAAAATTTCTTAATATATAAATGGATGAAGGGTCAGTATAAGGGAACCAATATTCAGGTATTCCTGCTATCTATCTGGCTTTTTCTTCTGTCTTCTATGGGACACTTCTTCCTATTCCAAGCCTCCAATTCTTACTCCAAGGACTATTATCAGCCTTCTGTTTTTCTCAATGTCATTCACATGAGTGGCTTAATCTACCTCTTACATGCTGATGGTCTTCACTTTTCTACACATCCAATTCAGATTTCTTTTTAAGTCAGATACATAATTCAATTCTGGGTCTATTCTCTGAGGGATAGAATCTCCTTTTCCCCAAGGGTGGCTTCCTGCATGGTTACTCGTCAGAGACTAGAGCTCAGGGTCTAGCCAACATCTGGCTCTGTGTGTGGACTTGCCTAGACCATAGGGAAGGTGAATGGAGTCTGAGGCTTATTTAAGGGCTTAATTCCTGACTTGACTGGGGATCTAGAAAGAGGGTAATTCTCCAATAAATTTTAGAGAATCAGCAGGAAAAAAATTATGTACAAAACTTCCTGGACATGTTTGTATTGACGATCTATAGGTACCTCAACATTTCCAAAAATTGAATTTGCTTTTAGACTGTAAGGTGTATGAGAACTTTGTCTAATTTGCTCAGCATTGTATATCTGACACTTGACAGAATGCCTGATCCAGGGTAGATTGTCAATATTGACTGAAAAACTTCATTCATTGAATGAATGAAGTATTCTCAAAACAGTTTCCTTCCCAATTTTCCCTGTTTTCAGAATGGGGTTTTCATCTTCTTCAATTTTCACAAGCAAAGAACCTGAGTATTCTAAATCATTCTCTTCTCCTTGTCCTATCAAACCCAACTGATGATCAATTCCATCAATTCCATTTTCTGAATATCTGCCCTTCCCATCTCCATGACCATTGCCACCCCCTTCATCTTCTGCATGGCTGTCAGAGGGGTAATTCTAAACATAAGTGCTACTATGTCACACTCCCACCCAACTCTGCCACTGAGCTACATGACCGTGGGCAAGTACTTTAACCATGTTGTGCCTTATGGTGGGATGTTGTGGGGCTTAAATGAATTAATAGGTGTAAACCATTTAGAACTGAGCCTGGGATATGGTAACAGTTAATAAATGTTACCTGGTATTTTTGTTATTATAACTCGGTATTCTTCAATGAACTTGCATTGCCTGTAGAAAAACAAAAACAAAACAACATAAAACAACCCATTTGGCAGGCTTGCAAAACCTTTCCTATCTGACACTGCCCACTGGTCTAGCCTCATTTCCCATTCTTCTCCTCATTCTGAATTCTGGTAATACCAAATCACTTTGCTTTCTCTATACCTTAATGCAATCTTTATAACTGCACACACTGTTGTCATCCCTTTGCAAACTCGTCTTACCATTAAAGTCTCAGCTTTAATGCTGTGTCCTCTCATGAACCTTGCTGGACAACTCTAGATATAAAGTCAAGCGCTTCCCAGAAAGTACCACTTAACTTTGTGCATATGACACTTATAGTTATTATCTTACTGTATTAGTAAATTTTAAGGAGTATTTCTCTATCTTCATTAAATTGTATACTTCTTTCAGGCAAAAACAGTTCTTTTGATCTTTTTTCCTTTTCTCTAGTACCAGGGTCTGGCATTTAGTATATGTTCAATAATTATTTGTTGAACAAATAAATAAGTTGCCAGGAATGACCTATAGTACTAATAAGGAATAATATTTTGAACAAAGGAAAAAACCTGCTACTATTATTCATGACTATTTGCTGAAACAAACTCCAGTTCTGCACATTTAGTGAGTTAAGTAAGTATATATGCACATCCTTTGAGGAATCCCATAGTTTGTGATGTATTTTACCTCCATATATTCCTTCTCTAACACCCTTCCTTTCTTTATGTAGATCCAAGTTTCTGGCCTACATCATTTTCCTTTTTTTCTGATGAATTTATTTTAATACTTCTTAAAAAGCAGGTCTCCTGGCAACAAATTCCCTCAATTTTTGTTTGTCTCAGAAAATCTTTATTTCTCTTTCACTTTTGAAGGATAATTTCACTGCATAAATAATTCTAGATTCATAGATCGTTTCTTTCAACACATTAAATATCCACTTTCACTCCACTTTCTTCTTGCTTGCATGACTTTTGAAGAGAAATTTGATGTAATTCCTACCCTTGCTCCTCTGTAAGGTGGGATTTTTTTCTCCCCTCTGGTTTCTTTCAAGATTTTCTCTTTGTCTATGATTTTCTAAGTTTGTATTATGTGCCCTTGTATAAGTTTTTGGTTTTTATCTTGCTTCATGTCCTCTGAGCTTTCAGTATCTAAGTCTGTTGTCTATCTTTAATTTTAGGAAATTCTCAGTCATTTTCACTTCAAATGTTTCTCTGTTCCTTTCTGTCTTTATTTTCCTTCTGGTATTCCCATTATCATATATTGTACCTTTTGCAGTTGTCCCATGGTTCATGGTATTGTACCTTTTGCAGTTACCCCATGGTTCTGTTGTATTTTTCATTCTTTCTCTTTGCATTTCAGTTTTAGAAGTTTCTATTGATATTTCTTCAATCTCGCTGACTCTTTCTTTGATTGTGTCCAGTCTATTGAAGAGCCCATCAAAGACATTCTTCATTCCTGGTACAGTGTTTTTTCCTTCTAGTATTTTCTTTTGATTCTTTCTTAGAATTCCCATTTCCCTGCCTATATCACCCACCTCTTCTTGCATGTTGTCCACCTTTTACATTAGAGCTCTTTACATAGTAACCATAGTTGTTTTGAATTTTCAGTCTAATAATTCCAACATCCTTGCAAAATTAGACTGACTGTGATGCTCTGTCTCTTCAAACTGTGTTTTTTGTCTTTCAGTATTCCTCATTTTTTTTTTTTTTCAGTTGAAAGCTAGACATGATGTACTGGGTAAAAGGAACTGAGGTAAATAGGACTTTTGTGTGAGGTTTTACATTTACCTTATTAGGAGTTGGGTTGTGTTTAATGTTTGCTGTATCTGTAGTTGTCAGACACTAAAATTTCCTCTGGTGTCCTTGTGTTCATCTCCCCTGCTGACTTTGGGTTTTCCTTAAAGATTTCTCTTAAATAAGGTCTGAGGAATGCTTTCTTTCAGTTACATTCTCCAGTTATTATAGATGAACCTACTGGTGTGGTAGTAAGTTTGGGGAAAAGAGAAGGGTCTTGTAGTCCTGTGATTAGGTCTCAGTCTTTTAGTGAGCCAGTGCCCTTGGGCTGTCACCTTCATACATGTTTCTCAGTCAAACCCTCCTTCCACTTAGGTGAGTCAGTAAATACGAGTGGACTGGGATTAGGTATTTCCCTTCTCCCAGATCATTTAGGTTCTCATAAAACCCTAGTCAGTTAGGTTCTGGTAAAATGGTTTATTTTGAGGGCAAGCCTTGTTAAAAATTACAGAATACTCTAAGTGAATTTCAGAATGGTCAATTTTCCTCTCCCCCTCCTGAAAACAAAAGGAAATTTTTACTGAATCTTCACTGTGAGAACCTTATGGGGCTCCTGGAGGTAAAAGTCACAGAAGTATGGGGGATTCCCTAAGATCAGGCCCCTTGGAGTTTTTAATGCTCAAACTTGTCCTCAAACACTGAGCCTTCAGCAATTTGTCAATTACAACTTAAATTTTCTTACTCTGCTACTTGTTCTCACAGAGGTTTTATGCTCCTGGGCTTCTGCTCTGGTAAGCTGTGGTTCTCTGTATATACCTGTTTCTCCAATTTGACGGACAGTGGTTTGCCTTGTGATGTCAGTTTTCTGATGGAACTAAAAAGAGTTGTTTTGTTGTTGTTGTTGTTCAGCTTTCTTCTTGTTATGAGGATGGGAATCATGATTTCTAAGCTCCTCACATGTTGGACCAGAAACTGGAAGTCTTATTTGTGATACATAAAACTATAAATAAAAGCTTGCTACAGTTGGCTAATTATTTGTCCCCTAAGATAAAAGTGATTACTTATTTGTCCATCTGTGGCTAGATGATATTGTTTCTGAGAGGTGAATAAATAATAGTCCAATGTTATCTGTAATTACGTGCTTCATTTCAGTTTTGCCATGTCAGATGAGCATTGTCTTTTATTTTTATTTTTTTAAAGATTTTATTTATTTATTTGACACACACAGAGAGAGAGAGCACAAGCAGGGGGAGCAGGAGAAGGAGAAGCAGACTGAGCCACCCAGGTGCCCTGAGCATTGTCTTTTAGCATCAGTGCTTATATTCACTCTGATGTCATAACAGAGATTATAAAGTCAGTAGCTTCTTAATAATCTAAAAATGGTTTTCATTCTGGTGAGTCAAATGCCATGGGATGACTTTTTCTGGTAGATAATGAAGCAGCTAAGGAATGTGTGGCTTTTATGGGAAAAAGTATGGAAAAAATGAGTGGTCCTTATAAGGCTGGCATTCTTTGCTTAAAAAAATTTTTTTGAATAGGCACAGGGTGACTACAGGGTGACTACAAAGCAGACTGAGACATGCAAGTCTCTGTAAAACAACTGTAATTTCCAATTTACTTCTCTTTTTACTGGAAAACCTGATGCTTTAATAGAATGGAAAGTATTCCATCGGTCCCTCCTTTGCTGATGCTATGACCAGGATGTCAGTGATATACAAGCTACACATGGATTCTAGAAAGCAGGTTCTGAGTGAAGCATTGGGGAATTTTGGAGGCACCAGATTCTAAACTGAAGGGGCTTAGGTCATGCTATTCATAGAAGATGAAAATAGCTATTGGTAGGTTTTAATTAGGTCAGATTTCATTGGTTCTTACCCCAGCAAGACAATAAAGAACTTGTTGGCTAACTCTGGGTGTGGTCTCCTTGCATGATGTTAGCTTTGGTATTAGTCTTGGTTGTCACTCAATGTGTATGACAATGTAACTGGATCAAAAAACCTGTGCCTTAATTGTGTACCTGGAATAATATTTTGTACATTAACTAATTTTTTCTCTTTCCATTTTCCACAATTCCTTCTCCACACTCAGTGTTGCTAGTCCTGTTCTCATTACTTCAGGGGAGATGACACAGGGCAGAGAAGGAACGAAAAATAGACCAAAAAGCATTTTGCCTGTTGTTTTCTAAAACTCTACACTTTAGGGGAATTGATTGGTTGTGGAGTTTGCTAAGGAGGAAGAAAGAAGGAAATTCAATGGCATGGAACATCATGGAACAATAGAATATGATTTCCACCAAATTGAAAATCATTCTCTCCCACCCACTCCACCCCCTGCAAGCTAGGGGATGGAAAGAGAAGATAGAGATTTGTGAGCCCACAGAGAAGAAGGGACCTACATCCTGCTTCCCAGGAGCAGCACAGGGAATGTGCTGATATCTCCAAGAGGAAATGGCTGAGTGGAAGAACAGGCCATGGAAAATGAAAGCACAACCAGTCTCACCAAGAAAAGGTATGCCCCAAATATGTATGGAAGCAGTAGGAATCTATTGATACTTTCTGAAAAGGTCATGCAGACATTTTCAATGGCTATCAGTGAGGCAGAAAGACTTAAGACCAGATGCCCCTGCACCCAAAATCTTCACTCTATAAAATTTAAGAACTAATATAACCCAGGATGGAGAAGTCCAGGAAGGACTGATGCTTATGTTTTCTGCCTCATGGATTACAAGTTTAAAACATGACTTAAACTGATTTATGATGGGGGAGAAGAAAGTTGCAACATTTCTTTCTGACCTGAATTTGTAGACATATTCATACTTTTATTAGGTCCTTATGCTCTTCTTTAAAATAAAAGGTTCAGGGATGCCTGGGTGGCTCAGCCAATTAAACATCTGCCTTCAGCTCAGGTCATGATCCCAGGGTCCTGGGATTGAGTCTCATATTGGGCTCCTTGCTTAGCGGGGAGCCTGCTTCTCTGTCTGCCTGCTGCTCCCCCTGCTTGTCCTCTATCTCTCTCTGACAAATAAATAAATAAAATCTTAAAAAAAAAATAAAACAAAATGTACACATCTAGCACGTAGCAAATGATTTCAGAAAACTGTTTCTCTAACTTTCTTTTAATAGGATTCACCATTTTCAGAAAAGTAATAAATATGAAACACAGCAACCTTCAGTCAAATAGACCTTATTGTTGCAAAATCCCCTTTGGATTAAACCCAACCTAAATGAACTCGGTATGAAACTATAGGAACTTGAAAGGAACAAAAGAACAAAACAA